TAACAAACTGTCCTTTCCCATAACTAACTATTGTATGTTGATAAATGTGGGAAATAAAATTTTACTTAATTAATGTTGAGTTTTTTGCTTTTACTCAACTGTACAAATTTTAAGCACCTAAGTAATTTAATATAATAAAGGTACCTCTTTACACATTCACACTACTTGCATAAAATAACATCTCTGAACTGTACATACTAAGAATTGTTAAACCAAAGATTTTGGCACTTCAATATTTCTTTGAGGCTCTTTCTGCTTAAGGTGTGTTTGGTGTGTTCTTTGAGGAAACACAGGTGTTAATCTTACTCAAATATTTGATGGGGATTTTAAAATCATGATGAATTAAGTAATTTATTACAAAAAAACTGGAAGCAGTGTCGTTATTGTAAAAAAAAAAAAAAAGTATTTCCTAAGGAGCACAGATAAATGTTTTTGGTCATTGAGAGATGACATTAATGCAACTTGGTTACATTCACATAACTTGGGAAGGCAAATTCTTCCCGTAATTATATTCACAAGTATTAAATTGAATCTTTCCCACTAAATTTTGGCGCATTGAGGCTGGTCAAGGTTTTTATGGAGTCCTTGTGCTATTGCATACTTTGTATTTCATCCGCAATGTTTTCTGAAGGGTTTTGTGCATCAGCACACACCAACCAGTTTGGGTGTCATTTGTGCCAGTTCAAAACAGGATTGTTTTGAACTGGCACAAATGACACCCAAACTTAAGGTGAACCCTACAATTTTAATGGGTTCACCTTAAGTTGGACAATGGAAGATTTGGAGTGAGTATTAATGAGTATCCATTCTGTCTTGCATCAACGGTTCAGTCTGGCAGGGGTATAGTGGTGTTAGAGATACTTTCTTGGCACACTTTGGGCCCTTTACTACCCATCAAGCATCATTTGAACACCACAGCCTGCCTGAGTCTTGTTGCTGGTCATGTCGAGCTCTCCATAAACAGTGTACTCATGTTGCTGTGCCTGAAATGGCATCCAGTCACCAGAACTCAGTCCAGCAGAGCACCTTTAGGATGTGGTGGGACAGGAGATTCACATCACAAATGTGTTTCAGTGGGGACAGTATTGACCCACTCCACCCTGCCTTCCTTTCAGCCTGTTTGCAGGCATTGGAGGGCTGGTGTCGTTCACTTTCCATCAGTGATGCTGGAAACACCTGGGCCCAGTGTGCCAGAGCTCTGTAAAAGCCCTCAGAGCTTTCTGTGGCTCTCCTTCCTGAGGAATTCCTGGGTTTTGGAGCATTGCATACACAGTTTTTCCACCTTTGCACTCGTTAATGCCACTGATTGTACTGACTACGCATTTGTGTGTATCTCATTTTTTGTTATGGGGAAGTTTTCATCACTCACTTTAGAGTGAAATGCCTTGAACAAAATGTGACCGAGTCAGGCTGTGAGCCGTCTGTAGGCCCAGAATAGCGTTCTGTTTTGTTATTTTTCCATTAATGTAGACGATGTAGCACAGCTGCAGGTCTGAAGAGCCTGTGCAGTTACTTTTCTTACCAGCAGGTGGCGCAGGTTAGATTCAAACTTTGCGTGAATCAGTGCAGCTCAGAATCAGATGAGAAGTTTTACATCAGTGACAGAACTGCAGTAAAATACAGGAAGTCGTGTAAGTGTTTACATTTTTAAAGGATGGATAATTCAAATGTACTCCTGGTCTTAATAACACAGTGTTACTTTAAATACTTGCTACCATTCACAGCAATAAAATTGTAAACTCTCAGAACAAAATTCACAAAGAGCCAATGGTTAAACTAGCGTTAACTGAAACTGAGAAAAGTACTTGTTTCTCTTTTGTCCTCAAACTTCAATGACACTCACTCTCATTACTCTGCTTGTTAAACTCAGAATCGTAGCCCCCTGAGGCCTTCAGCCTAAATTAAGCAGCACTGCTAATCACAGATGTTGATCACTGGCACATTTGAAAAAGAAAAGAAAAACATCTGTGAAACATATGGCTGCTAAGTGTGTTGCTGTTTTCATTTTCATACACTGCTCATGTTACCACTGCAAACTCCTGCCTGCTGGGGTTTTAGTGTAGTTAGGATTTGATCCTCAGATCACCTCTAATACTTCTAGAACCTCTGAAGACAGAAATCATTGTGGATCTCGCAGCATGTTTAAGTCCTCATGAGTGCAGGACACAAAACCTACTTCAGCTCCTGTTGTTCTGGTTCTCATTCCAACCTTTGACCTTGTGGCCGAGTCGGGGGGAAAAAACATTTTTTAACTACTTGATTATAAAGACCTGATATTCAGTCTCACAAGATTGTGCATCAGTAAGGATCTGGACTCGGAGTCGTGTTAGAGATAAGATACACTAATCAAGATGGTGTCTGTGTGTCTCTTTTAAACTCAGCCACTCTCAGTAGTGCCTTGGCAAAAGCAGCCACAGCTGACATCTTCAAGTCTTTCTCATTGGCTGCGACTGGTTGTTCATGTTGATTAATTAAGTGCTAAACTCTCTCTCGTTCTCTCGCTGCACTGACAGAAAAGCTGATTCATCCAGGCCCAGAAAATGATCTCATCAACCCCACCTTCTCCCTCTTTTTCTCTCGCTCTCCGTCTCTTTCTCCATCTCTCTTCCGCTCCCTCCCTTCCTTTCATTCTCGCTCTCTGTCTGTCTTTCTTAAACGGACACATCCCTCTTTTTAAATGAAAACAAGCCCTCCTTCTTGGCAGCTGGTTGCCTAATTTTAAAAAGACACACTCGAGGAGTGAAGAAGAGAGCTCAGTGTGAGTTAGTACACCGAGAAAGAGATGGTGTAGAAGAAGTAAAGGCCTGGTCAGACTGTTTTTAACTTATATGTATTTTATAGGTTAATAATTTAGGGTGTATGTAGTACTCAACAGTTTTCATGGCATTCACGACACTTTGAGTTCTATCAGTTTTGCCATCCAGTTTCTGTTCATGTTTATCATAGTGTTGTATTCCTCTTAGTTTACCCTGCCTCCCCTGTTTTCCCCGTGTCTTGTGATTCTTTGCCCAATTTGTTACTCATTTCCTGTTTTACTTACTAGTTCTCTCCTGTGTTTGATATTAAGGTTATGGTTTTGGTAGTGTTTATGTGTGCTATCATCATTCTGTGTGTAAACACAATAGCTCGAAACGGTGCGTGGAGCTATTTAAAACTCTGTATCTCGCTGCCGTTGTTTGTGTTGACAACAAATAGGTTATATGGGTTACTTTGGACCTCTGACCTCTTTTTCAGGATCCAAAAAGTTCAACGTTTTATAAAATGTCTTTTTATATTTAAAATTACGATGATAAGTCTACTGCCTTTAATTGTACTGGCAACTTTTAGGGAGTTTTACTAGTACATGGGAAAGATAAATATCATATTATAGTTGGCATCCAAATGTGTCACATTTGACCTCTGACCCCACTTGAACATTCCACATTTGCACACTGTGTGTGTTGTCCTGTTGTACTCTTTCCTTACGTTTCTGTTTTTTCCCATTTGTTACTAGTTTTGTTTAGTATTTCAGTTTTGGTTTTACTTATGAACTTTAATCGGCCAGAATAAAAGGCTCCCTTTTGGTCTGCCTTTGGGTTCACTGCAGTCATGACAGTCCTGCATATCAGATATCAGATCATAATAAGAACATTCAACAGCATCAGGAAATATTAAACACTTAGTCTGAGCCTGTAGGATTTGTAACTTTTTCAAACTGTGCGCTTTAAATTTTGTCTTTAAAAAAAATAAATCTGCTTCTATAGTAAAAGATGAAAATCGAGCCTTTTGCACCAAAGTTTTATCCCAGTTCCAGCTCTTATGTTTAACTGGAAAGCCTTTAGTATTTAACAACAACCAAAACAATATGTGATGTGCATTACTATTCTGGGCTTAAATAGTTTGAGGTCACATGGGGATGATAAGAAGAGAACTCAAACACACTTTAGGCAGCTTTTTCCAGAGTTAATGCAACACTTAACCTAATTCAAAAGTGCCTCCTAAAAGTTCTCCACTGCCCTGTAATCATCTACAGTGAAACCCCCACAGTGTTTCTTACGTGCACAGAGTAAATCATGTGCTTTTTTATTGACTGCTTTGTATTTCACTCAGCTGCATGTTTGACTAGACTGATCACTCTTTTGTTATTCACCACTCTTCTCCTGTTTGACTACTTTGATTTGGGCTGTGCCTAAACAAACTGTAACCACACACTCATTGCAAAACTACAAAGCTTACAAAGCTGGCACAGGTTGACTACTTCAGGGTCATCATGAGTTGTAAGCATATCTTGACTGTGCAGTCAGAAGGGTCCAATATGAACACTTTATTTGCCTTTTGGGTGATTTGATAAAGAGACAAAGATTTCATTATTGAGAGATGATGATGGTATTTCTGCATAGCCAAAGTACACTGGAAAATCTATTGTAAAGTTATATAAGTATGATCATTAATATAAACAGTATTACAAAAATAAAGCACCAATTCATAAAAGGTGCACATAGCCCTTCACGATTTCTGCACTACTTATAGTACTAATGGTTATGCTATGTCAAGCTTTCTATTGTAAAGTCCTATTTATTTATTTATTTATTTATTTATTACTGTTACAGCTTCTTTTTTTTTAAATTTTATTTTATTTTATCATGGATAATTAATAGTTCCAGTAATAATTGTTTTTGTAAATGAAAAACATATTTTTTTCTGCCACTTCACTAATGAGACTTATATTTGCATTATTTTATCTTACTGGTTGGTTTAATTTGATTAAAAAACAAACAAAACATTTTATTATTATTCATATTGAAGTTATTCCATAAAGTGCCGTGAAGCAGACGAGCAGAAGTCGAGAGTGGCGTGGAAACCGACAGAGTAGCCTACTTAGACTACTGATTTCCTTTACTGTTAAACACCGCTGAGGGAAACAGGGGGTTAAGTTTTTCTCTCTTCCGTTTATCCCTCATAATGGGATGTGCCACCGAGTCGCTGTGCTGGTTTGAGCCACAGCAGGTCAACATATTCAGCGCAAGAGGCGGCGCATCATGGGCCGAGCCTGTTCGCAATGAAATGAGTCGAGGACTGCGCGCTGCGGAGTGCGTTTCATTTCACTCTGCTCCGGCTGACCGCCTCGCACACTGATATGGCGACACGTGGATTTCTGTGGGCACGAGGACCCACCGGCCACAGTGTGGATTAACTGGTGGTCTCGCGCGGGACTTGGCGATGCGTTCGTTAAAGGAAACAAATTCCGCAGATATCCGGAAAACGCATCCATGCGCCACGGCCGCTCCGCATCCCGATGTGCTCGTGACGATACAAAGCCTGGCTTCAAGGAGCTTTCATGGCACGTCGGCGTGGGTGCGTTCACGCGGTTGTTTTGCTCTTCTTTGCGCGTGAGGCTTCGGAGCGCAGCTGTGCAATGAGACTATCGGGAATTATCAAGTAGACTTAATTGATACATAATCCGACAATATGGCTGATCAGAGCAACATCCAGTCCGCCGCATCCAAGAGTATCCGGCCCTTTAAATCCAGCGAGGAATACCTGTATGCCATGAAGGAGGATCTGGCTGAATGGCTTAACACCCTGTATGATCTGGATATCACTGCGGACACCTTTATGGAAGGGCTGGCGACGGGCTGTGTCCTCTGTCGGCACGCCAACAACGTGAACCGCGCCGCGCACGAGTTTCAGCTGGAGTATCCCGAAGCTGCACAGGCAATGAAGCTGCCATCTAAAGATGTCGTCTTCCAGTTTCGCAATGTTGTCCCCGGCTCGTTTGTGGCGCGGGACAACGTGTCCAACTTCATCACCTGGTGCAGGCAGGAGCTCTGGATCAAAGACGTCCTTATGTTCGAGACCAACGACTTGGTGGAAAAATGCAACGAGAAGAATTTCGTTCTGTGTCTTCTTGAGGTGGCGCGACGTGGGTCCAAGTTCGGCATGCTGGCCCCCATGCTGATCCAGCTGGAGGAGGAGATCGAAGAGGAGATCCGGGACCAGGAGAGCCTGCGGATCGATGAAGGGGAGCCAGCTAAGCAGAGCTCGCCCAGCAGGTGTTTCAGCCGGAAGGAGAGCAGTAAGAGTGTGGAGGATGAAGAGGAGCCAGATCCAGAGCCCTTCATCTGGCAGCAGAAGAGAGTCTTATGTGACATGCGAAATCTGGATGAACTGGTGAGTTTAACAAATGAAAAGATCCGCAAACCCAAAATGTCTCATAACTGCTTTATGAACTAGGAAGGTTAAGTGCAGCCTAATGATCCCTCTGCTCAATTCCCACGCTGTTCAGTCTTAAGTGTGGAAGTGGATTTGCAGGAAAGCTTTATTCCTATTATAAATGTATAATAGAGGTTTTCCATCACGTGGCCTCGGTCTACAGTAAATATCAACCGGTCTGTTTTGACTGGTGCTAAAACAGCGTCTAACAGCTCACAGAAGACCCATTTTCTCCCACAGTAAAACCACAAAAATGTGCCAAAAGTGAAATACTTGCTCTGAAAGTACCATGTCAGTGATATAAAGAACACAGGAGCCTGATAGATCACCTGTGGGGTGGGTGCGTGCAAACATCTGGGCTTGTTTTAAGACGTGCTGTTAAATTCCTTCAATTCTGGAGGGCCTGTGTGCCTTGCCCTCTCCTACAGGAAAGCATTGAAAAGTCACAGGTCAAATTGGCTGAATTCTTCTGGAAATACCGGTCCTGCATCTCAAGAAATTCCCTGACACTTAGTATTACTTCTTTCTTTCATTTAGCTTGACATCAACACAATATCACAAGCTTCCTGATTATGTGGCATTTCTCTATCTGCTCAATCAAGATGCCGGGAATGTCCCTTTGGGCAGTTTTGCTTCTGAAACACTCCCTCTTCTCTGCAGTCAAACCATTAACTCTTGTCATTCATTGTGCTGAACTGGTTGACCTTTGACAGAGCATGCTGCACATGAACATGTGATGGAAGCAAAGATCTTGCCAGCGCAAAGCTAATGAGCACAGCCCAGCACAACGCACGCTTGTTAGGTTGTGAGTAGGGGGTGGCTGTAATATTGTCATGCTGATGTCTGTCTTTGACACCAAAAATGTGAGGGACACCAGAGAGGGAGGAGGGGAGACAGTCAGCAGCCACACTCATGCAGAGCCATTTCTAGTGTGTGACCTCCAAAGAACAAGAGAGCACGTGGAGGAAGATGTGCGCTGTCCTTATCCCTCGCTCATATGACTGAGGGTTATACAAGCGAGCTACATTTTTGGGAGGGAATCATCAAAGGAAAGTTACAGATGCTCATCCCCATTTTTTTCCGTTTTGCCGTGTTTTACACTGACAGCATCCCTCGGCTGTGATCGAGACACAGATTTGACTGTTTTTGACTGGTTTAGGGATGGAATTATCTGTTATCATCTGTGTGATGAATAAACTCTCCATCCTCTTAAAAAAATTGATCAGGGCACTTAGACCACAGGCTGCAACATTAAAACAGTACGCTATCATCAAGCATGTTGTATATTGTCTGCTGAGTTGTATTTAGTAACACATCCTGTCTAAATACATCAGCTGTTGGTGGCAGACTATGTGTAATATATATTTCCACTGAATACCTCTTTATTTCCTGCACTCTGACACAGGGTGTTTACCAGGAAATAAAAATAAAACCCACATTATCATCTACATAGTTTGATCAATATCTGCTACCCAGTTCTAGCTGCAAGGCTCAAGACATCTTCTCCCTCTATAAGCACAGTCACAAGTTTATCCACCAGGATACTTTTGTATTTACAAGAGATGAATCTAAATTCACATTGACTTAATTTTGTTTCTACATTAAAAATAAATAAATACATAATTTATCAACCTCTCCACAAACCGCTTTCCTATGCATACCCAGTAGCATTATTGATAACATATCATCAATTAATTATCAGCCTCTTATGTCATGAAAGATCCTGGTAATGTGAGCGTTCAGCTTCCATTTAGCTTCTATGTATTCTTATAGAAAATATTATTAATGTGAGGTAGTGGAAGGAGATAATACCCATGCACAATCACCGATTAAAGTCAGGATATCATCCTTTCATGTTTACCCGTAATACTTTCAATTAAAAGCAGGAAATTGGAACTGAGCTTTATATCTATGAAGAAATGTTTATTGTAAGGCAGCTTCACACGAGACTGGGATACAGGATATTTATTTATTGTTAAATTATGAAAGAATAGATCACACTTCCATATAAAGTCTCTGAGCTAAGAAATAGAGAAATACCCTGCCACAGTACCACACAGTGTTGGCGTGGATGACTCTGTGTCTGTGATGGAGCACGTCTCTCGCCCAGTATCAGTTGGCTCAAATTATACGGTCCTGTGGGATAAGCAGTTAAGAAAAAGTATGCATGTATGGATGGATCTTCTTCAACACATTGTTTAGTGGTTAGTCAATCAACTTAATCCTATTACTGAGACAAAGCAAGTGTGGTGGTAATAGGATTACATGTTGTTATTCTAATTAGTTAAAGTATACAGACAGGCCACGATAACTCAAACTACAGCTCCCTCTGTGGCTATTCAGCAATCACAGAAGTGTCACAGAAGTTATAATTTGTCCCTGACTACTCGGCTTATGCAAGAATAAAGTGACTCAGTAAACAAATGTCTCGCAGTGCAGACAGTTGATGTGTCACGTCAACTACCTGCTCTATACAATAGGCGTAAGCTGTTGACATTCCTGATTTCAACACACCCTCTCCAACAGAGTCTGCCACTAATCTGTCAATGTTAAGGTTCCGGCTCATGCTCCAGTGCTCCACTTTGATGTTGGGGAAGTAACTGACTAAGACTTCTGAGTGCAATAAATGTTCCTCTTCTCAGTCCCAAAGATGTTCAGACAGCAGCTGGCTCACACAGATGAGCTGAATATACCCACACGTAGTGTTTATCCTTTGCATTAGGGGCTTTTCTGTCCTATCATCATCATACAGGGATTATGAAAAAGATTGATTGGCTGAGGCAAAAAAAAAACCCAAAACACACATTGTACCCTCACAGGTATCATTTAGTCTCTTTTCCAGGTCTCTGTGCTGTTTTTCTTATTTATTTTATTGAATGTTTTTATTAACCAGGTAGTCTCTTGAGATTAACATTTCCTTTTCAGGAGAGACCTGGCCAAGTAGGCACACCATCACAGCGTTACAACTTAAACATCAAAAATTACATAAAAGAAGATAAAACAAGTCAGAGTCAAAACAATACAAATTCAAGGTCCAGGCTCTGAGTAGCAGTTACACACTTCAGCTACAGAAGTCTTTATGAGAGCTCTGAATTCTTCCAGGGAGACGAAAGCATTCGGCTTTAATGCGCTCTGACCAAGATGCAAAATAGCCAAGTAGAGCACCACAAATCATAGCAGCTGTTTGAAGATGTTGAGGGTTTACACAGATATAAAAGGAAGCTGTACATAAAAATATAACAGTGAAGTTGTCTCTTTAAAACTAGCGAAGGCCAAGAAACCAGATTATAAAGTACACAGCGACAACAAATTTGATATGACACGTAAAAAAGCTGCAAGTCTAGACAATGAAACGTAAGCAGCATGCAGATGCCACCATAATCAACGACGTTTAAGAATGTCACCTGTAAAAGTTTTTTTTGCCAACTGATAAATTAAAATTGTCCAGATTTCAATTATAAAAACCCAATCTAACCTTCTACTTTTCACAAAGTGCCCAATATGCACTCTAAAGGAAAGTCTGTCATCCAACCAAATACCTAAATATTTATAGGATGACAGTATTTCAGGAATCTCCTCCTAGGTGTTTTTCATACGCGAGTATTTGCACGTCTCAATAGTAAAATATGCTTGTTGTAGCTATACAAACGGCAATCTGTTTATTCCAAATCATTACAAATGATGGATGCTAACATGCATTGTTTACGCTACCTAAGCAGTTGCACATTGATTGAGCTTAGAAACAAAAGATTTTTTCCCTTCACTCCACATCTTTGCTTTTTTTTTTTGCTTACTCATATAAACTGGTTCATTTCTTTTCACACCCCGGGCTTCAACATTCAGTCTTCGTTCAGTTTTTACACTGAGCCCTCGCAACCCATCCCCCCACATCTGTCCCTAGTGGAGATGATGAAGCAAAGAGTGGATCCGTATGTCTCATTGGGTGCATGGAAGGAGGAAATGAATAGCTACTGTTGGCAGTGAGGTAATCAAAGGCTGACATCTTGATCTTCAGATGGAAACATCAGCAGGGCAAAGGGGGAGGGTGATAACGTGTGTGTTATGACTACATGCATGGACACTCTGCTCCGTTAACCTTATGGTCTCATTCGTGCATTCGTGGTATACGGGGGGAGCATGATAAAAAATGTGCCTAGAGTGACTTCACTGTACACTCCGTTAAACCTGACTAGAATGGATGTGGCTCTGGGAGGGAGAGCTACAGTAGAGAGGGTGAAATGGAAAAGTAGGTCATGCTTTGCATCGGGTCACACTCAGATGCCTTGCTGAGAGAGCAAAACACCCTTCACTCTTTCTCCTTTCTTTGCTACGTGCACTTTGCTTTTAAAGGGGTGCGCCGTTACCGGAGGTTATTTTGCACAGTAATACTTGTCGCCATCTCGTTTCTCATCGCTATTTTCCAGACAACCCGGTGCACATGGAACAGCTGAGTCCTCAGTTTTGCATAATGCCCACTTTATGTCTTTATTGTTGTACTTGATGCTATCAGCTGATCGTTTGCATGTTTATCGCTTAACTGGGTGTCCATCTGATCTGCCTCTTTCTGTCTGTATGAACAGTGATTCGCCGGTTATTTTCTGCACCCGCCTGCAGCCTCTACAAGCTGGTCTCAGGTGGGGATTAAACATAAATTCCTCTAACCTTGCCTGCCACAAGGAGAGCGCTGAGTGTTGTTGATCCTCATCGAGACAAACCAGCAAACCAGCCCAACCTTGGTCGGATAATTCATTTTCATGCACCGAATGATGATATTGCTCTTTGACTGGAGCAGCTGAATAATGGCGTTATTGCTCTTAGATCACATGATGCCCATCAGACTCTTATATTGCTTCAGCCAAAGTGGGTGCTTGTCATGTGGCCAAAAAAAAGGGCATTGATTTACAGAGCACGATTTCCTTAAAGCAGTAAATGATAGCTATCCTGTAGTAGGTATGATTACACTTTCACCTCTGGGCAAACATACAGTACAGTATAAAACAGCAAAAAACATCTACTGAGATCTTAGGAGCTCACCAATTAAAACATTATATGTTAAGCACATATTTCCGTTCTGTTTCATACAGATTAACAAACAAATCCACCATGTTTATGAGGTGGAAATGCTTTTAACCAGGGCACTAAGCTAAGCCAACTAGCTGCTGCCTATAGTTTTAAATGCTTACTTTCCCACTTTGTTCCAGAGTTGTTGTTTTAATGCTGCTTTTGACAGAATACAGTACTGTATGAAACTTTAATGTTTTGCTACCAGGAAGCCAAACTTCTAACACTGACCTATAAATAGTTAAAACATAAAAACTTAAATGATGAACCAGTGTTGTGTCTACACATAACAGACAACTTAGCAAAGAACTAAGAACTTTGAAATGGTATCTTTAGACACGTTGATACTGGCATGCTAAAGTATGCCAATCTGATTTAAGTCCGGACTTTGACTACAATGCACCACCACACTCCCACGACCGTGTTTGACTGTTAGTATGAAGTTCTTTTTAATCAGATGCTGTGTTAGTTTTAAACCAAATTTAAGGAAACACAAACCTTCTAAAAAAAACTTTGGTCTTGTCAGTCTATAGAATATTTAATATTGGGGGATTACTTTTTCACACAGAGCCAGACAGGTTATGATAACCTTTTCCCCTCAATAAATGAAATTGTTCTAAAAATGTAATTTATCTTTGTCCGAAATGAAACACATAAATGTGACAAATACGCAAGGAAATAAGAAATCGCGGCACTGCGGGTCAGAGATAAAAAACACTCCTAGTTGTAGGCGAGCTTATCAGCAATCAGACCTCCTCAGTGGTGCCGCACTTCCAGTCCCATCCCCTAGTTCCTCCCCGGATGCAAGTGTCCACTCTGCGGTACCGCCCTGCGTCATTATCAGTTATTTTCCACAAGGAAGATAAGTGATATACAACTCAAGACTGAGAAATAAATAAACAAACACATCAGTAAACGAGTAAGTTAAAAACACAGTAAATACTAGACATTAAACAAAGAAATTAGTAGAAGAGCAAGACTGTTTTTGTGAGCCTGAGATGGAACGAAAATTACATGTAGATTTATGATATTTTCCAACATAATGGTGCTTCTAATGGTAACAGATATAACAGAGGAGAAGTAGAAAATGCAAATGTTTCTGAGTGGGTTTAAAGGTTTTGCTAGAACGCGTTGCATTTATTTACCCTCACGGCAAAACGGTATTAAAGCCTGTGTGTGTATATGCACTTTTCCTCAACAGCACAGCAAACTGCTGCCTTCAGAATGACTGTAAATGTGTTTATTCTTTTTCTCCTCCCCATGTAAGGGCATTAGGTGACCTATCTGACCCCAGGGCACTCATCCAACTGTTTTTCCATTTCTTCTCTCTGCTGGTTAGGCTAGGCTCTTACTCCAGGAGACTAACTGTGTCTGAACACTCTTTTAGTTCATTCCCCTGGGCTACAGGTCCAATATAATTAGAAAACATAATTATCATTCATTTAGCCATTCATCACCTCCCTCCACCCCCGTGTTGTTTAACGAGATTGTTTGTGCGAAAGCTGTTCCCAGTTTATGAGAAAGCGTGGTTGTCCACGGAGAAGTCATTTATACAGGCTGTCGGGGCAGCGGTTTAATAGGTGGATAGGGTTTGAAGCGTTGATTTTTTCAGAGCTCTGGGAACGCTTGCTTATGGGTGGTGAAGCAATAACCCTTCAAGTTCCAAAAAATCTCCCTTACACAGCAGGAGCCTCTTGTGGCCTAGTTTTCTTGTCTCTTATCTGACGGCATGCTTGTTTCATCCCGGGAAGCTTCCAGGCTTCGGGGCATGCAGATAAGCTAAGAGAAGAGTCTTGTTCTGTCATTTGGAAACATCACCTCGGAGCCACATGCTCTTTTATTAACGCTTTTGTATCACCGAGGGCTCAAAAGTCGAAATCTAGAAACGCCCTGTAGAAAGAAATTCCTGGGAAGTGAGTTGTAATGTTCACTTTTTATTGTTGGAATTTAGCGATGAGTATCCGTCCCTTTATACTCATAAAAGGGGCCACTTACAGGAGTCCAGCACACCTATGTTTGGTGAAATGTGTGGCCATACGTGGGTGTTGACTCATGAAGGGAGCAGACTATTATTCAAGTGGATCTGAGAGTACATCTGAATAAAACCCTGAGCCACAAAACCAGAAAAAAAAAATCTGGTGTTTGTGTGTTTGCATAACAACCACTGACTTCAAACCATACAGCAACAAAACTGGAAACCCTGGACATTCCTTTGTGATGATGACATTTTGTTCAGATGCAAAGTCAAGTCTCAGCGTTGCACGCTTGTCTTTATTTGAAATCAGCACAGAATATGCACAGAGAACAAAACCGAGACATCTTTAAGTCCTTCGCTCCCATTTCCTCTGTTCACCCTTTTCTATGAGTTGGCCTTGCAGTGTTTGCAGGTCAGGAAGGAAAGGACTGAGGACACTGTTGACTCATACTGCGCAGATAGGACAAGATCTGTGCTGTGGGATTGTTAAAAAGAACCCGTGATCTTAATGTTAAATTCCTCAGATAAACAAATACAGCTTTTCAGTTCAAAGGAAGTATCACAAAACTTTCTTGAAAATATTCTTTTTTGTCTTCTTGCAAAACCATCTCTGCATTCCTATCTTAAGATAGATGCAGGAGATTTCCAGTATTGGGGCATGCTGTGAATTGTTCCCTCATCTTCCTTTTTTTTCTCTCTCTTCCTTCTCAAACATCTGCAGCTCTCGCTGGAAGCGTCTCTCGTGAGACCGGCAGGCATCCATAATTTCTCCCCCAATTTTTCCCCAGTGTTCCAGCTCCACTTCCGCATGTTTCCCGCGTGACCCCATCTCTCGCCTCCCTATTCATCTCACCCCCACCCCCCACCATGTGCAGTGCATGCCTGTGTGCGTGTGTGTTTTAGTTTCAGTTTATCTGTCATTGTTGACACAGCGAAGACATGGGAAGTGCAAGTATTTCACAGCAAAGAATCCACTGACTAAATACTTTAAATGCAAGGACTGCTCTTTGAATGGGTTACTATTAAAAAACACTTCAAATGTACATCCTGCTCAGTGTTTCTAATGTGACACGTTAAGAGGAAAACCTAATCTGAACAGAACCAAGGGAGAGAGACTTTACTATGGCTGCGGTGAAAAAAAAAAGAAGGGAAACTGTATGGTCAGAAAGGGAAGGGTAATGCTATGTGTGCGTCTGTTGCCATAGCAGTCTTTCCATTAACACACAGACTAGGGTTTTTCCAGATAGGCCGAGTCCACCTACTGACAGAATGAAAGAGTGGGTGACTGGGCGGACAAAAAGAGAAGCAGCAAGCAGCTGTAGAAATGTAAGCAAAACCAAAAAAAAAAAGAAGATAAATATAGGTCTGGTCACGCAGTGCACGGGCTAAAAATAGAGGCTGATCTACAACAAAGCAGACGAGAGAGGTAAGAAGAAGTAAAGGAGCCTCGATACAAACAGGTGAGAGGCAGAACAGAGGCGCAGGTGAGATGTGAGGCTTAGCTCTGAGGCCTCCCTCTTTAATTAGCACGGGATAGAAGAAGGGTGCTATTTCAAGAAAATAACAAGGTGACACCTTAATCTTCTGAATACACCATACCGGTTATGCGGTAGGTAGAGCGAGCACACACACACATGCACAAACAAGCAATATCCCTTGAGCCCTGCGGATAGCATGAAAGGTGCAGTAAACAGCTAAAGCGGAGAAGCTACAATCAGGTATTTGATCAGATTAATATCTACATGCACCCCTCCCCTTGTTTTTACACCAATGAAGCAGTTATTCATCCTTCATCCTGCTTCTGTGCTCTCCTCGGTCCACTTTGCAGCTTTACTTTCTCTCCCTGCTACGCGACAAGTGCGCACACGCCTTTGTCTGACAGAGACGCCAAGAAAAACATCAAAGTTGTCCAATCCAGCAAGAGCAGCAGGCCTGCGCAACAAAGCGAGCGATCTCACTCCACCCTGCAGTTGTGTCTGACTCTACTTGCCTAATAAGCACCCGTAACCACAGCAAGGGCACCGGCTCTGACTCTCTCGATTCAAACCCCATCTGGCAGCACCGGCCTGCTGACATCATCGCCACTAGTCTGGTTTCCATGCTCTTTTCTTCCCTCTAGTTGATGATGTCACAGAAACAAACACGGTCATGTAAAAAGCCAAGAGAGCCAGAAAGGGAGAGTATTAATTAGCACATCCAGTGTGTATTTTGTGTTTGTGTTTTTCTTGGTTTTTTTGTGACAGTTAGCGGTGAACTTAATGACCAAATGTTCTGAAAAGACGAGGTGAGAAAAGGCTTTTATTGTGGTGAGACAGCGGGGCGTGGTGCTTGATCACCCAGTGGGGGGGTTGGAGAGAATATTTTGGCAGGAAGATGACAACTCCAACACACTCGTATACTTAGGAAGACTGCTCATTTCTCATAACATAAAACAGAGGCTTTGTGCTTTTGACACATAACACTCACATTCAGCAGCGCGTTGGTCATTGTTGCAAGTTTGTGACTAATCATGATGTCATGTTGGTAAAAACAGGAAAGGATCATTATCAGCTTCCTCTTAGGTATCCAACATCATGTGTGGCTCATCTGAATGTTAAAAATGCTTTGTTTTTGCTGCTGTAGCTCACCTGGCCTGGGTTTGATCGTGCCCCCGCAGTCGCTCCTTGGTGTCCTGTTGAATAAAGGTTAAAGTGCCCAAAGAATAAATAATCTAAAATCTAAAAAAAATCCTTTGTTTTTGTCCTTTACAGGTTCGGGAGATTTTGGGGCAGTGTTCCTGTCCAGCTCAGTTTCCTATGATCAAGGTGTCAGAGGGGAAGTACAAAGTGGGGGACTCCAGCGCACTGATCTTTATCAGAGTAAGTCATCGCCAAGATAAACCCTAGCATCGTCAGATATTTGTCACTGTGATACACATCTTTTTATGCTTTCATTTTACTCTGACAGATAAGGGGACAAACAATGTTGTGTAAGAATGCCCACATTACTAGTTTTGTCATGAGAATGTAAAAAATGTTGAGAGGGCACTTTTGAAAGTCAAAAACATCACAAGTACAAGTACTCAAACCTAATTTGACTACTTTGACTTACTACTCCTTTTACCTTTATGTTAATTTAATGTTTGTTAGACACAGTTTTCCATTTGAATGCAATTTTATTAAAAACACACTTAGGCAAACAAAAACGACTGTGATCAACCAAGTTTTACATAATTGTGCACAGATCCTGTCCTACAAAGGATTGCCCTCAACATTTCTGCTCTTCCCAGGAGCTTATCTCAGAATTCTGGGGTCTGTACATAAGCAGCCTCTGTGGGCCCCCTTCCTGTCCCCATCCATCCTTTCCTATCTCTTTGTTTTGACTTTTTTAAACACATAATTAAGCCGACAACTATCCACAACAGTTTGGGTAGCCATTGATCCTTTAGTATATAACATTTAATAAAAAAAACGCTCGCCACCTGTCATTTCTTAGCATGCTGTATTCATCTTCTTGCTCACTATCTGATACATAGATACAAGAATGGAGTTTATAGGACTGATATTAACTACTTAACCTGCTTACAGCACAGTCCTGTTTTCAACCTTAGAGATCAGACCAGATCACCACATCACACCAGAAAAACTGTAAATAGTATAATTACCTTAATAATCCTCAATTATTATTAAGGATTAATACCTTAATTATTATTATTATTAATAATGATGACAATTTCAATGAGCGTCCAAACTTTATTTGTGCTCACATTCAGCAGCCAACTATAACACTATAATTACAGTAGCTTAGCTAAGTAGGCCTAACAGAAGTATGTAAGAATCCATTAGATTAAATTAGGTTTATGATATGTGCAGTGACATGACATATAATAGCTGGAGATGCCATATATTGCAGTCTAATGGTCATTTGGACATGTAGGCCACTGGCTGATTTAGTAATGTTTGAAAACATTCAGAAAGGTGTACACAGGTATGTTGGTGTTTATTAAGAGCTAGCAAAAGCTAAGTAAATGCCTCCATCGCCATACAAGTGATTTAATATCTGTCTCCTAATATTTCTGGAACCATCACTTTGTTGTCACGTTGTCAGATGTGAGAACTTCAGATATCAGTTTAAAAAATCAGATGACTGATTTAAGTTTTATTACCAAATTACTAAAAAAAACAAAAAAACAAAATAAAGCATGAGCAGTTATGCACCTGGATTAGGACGATTACTTTTAAGGTTTTCAGAGCCAGGTATGTGGCATGTGTAGTTCGACAAAAACCTGCATTGAAATTTCAGCATTTTGTTATAGAAATGGTCTGATTCGGGTTTGTGGTGTAAAGAATGAAAAACTCTGTGAAGGGAATAATATGCAGCAGTTAAATGGGTTAAGGATTGGAGTTTCTCCCGGGATGTTTGGATTTCTCTGTGAAACGAAATGTCAGCGCCTACATGTCTGTGCCCCTGCTGGTGGGAGGAGCTTATAACATAGGGGTAAGCTGCAGGGAAGAATAGTATATATTCGTATTTGTTTCAGCTGACAATACGACCACATACTATAGAGATGTGGGACAAATTAAAAGAAAAACCTGAACCCTGGACCTCTAACATTGGGAGATCTAATAGCTCTGTTTTGCTGGGGAGGGCAAGACAGCAACGTCATCAAAAGACATAACGAGGGTGCAAACTTTTCGAAGAATGGCGCTGCTCCTGGTTCTCCTGTGCTATAGATTTGGAGAAATAATGCAAGTGGTGCATTGAAGCTGTTCATGTAGCATGTGATGGTCCAACATCTTACTAAGTCACCTGTTGGCTTTTCCTTTATTTTGTCACATGTGCGTGTATATTTGGCACATAGCACAGCAGGCATACAGCAATTACATGGAGCCATATGGTAGCACCATATGGGATCATTTGTTGGTTCATGAAGAGCAAGATAATATCCCAGCAGAAATCCCTCAGCTGTTTGGCTGAATTAAACTGGAACAGTACTATGATTTCTCTCTCTCTTGAGTGAGTGTTTATGAACTGCCTTCATCTGGCCCACTCCCAGGATTGTACTTTTTCCATCCAGACACAAATAGAGGTTTAGGTCACTTCCTGAGTTTTCCTTATCTTGGCTGTAGCCTGTTTCTCTTGGACTGTTGGTCTCGTTTTCAGTTCAAAAGCTGCCACTGAACCCACACCAGGCCTCAGAGGACAGTGCAGGAAGGTCGTCTGATACCAAAGATTGATTTGGTTTCACTTACCTAACATGTACCACAGCCTGATAATGGACTCTTTGAACGGCTTTCCGGGTTTGCTGTAGGCGTGCCCGACTGCTCTAATGCCAGTATTTATTTATTTGCACTTTTAGCACCACCACTTGGCCCACACTAGGAGATGTAATGTAAAATATATGATTACATTTTTGGTAAAATTATCTTTGTTTAAGAAATTGAGAATTTTTTTTATACATATTGAGTTATAGATTAAAAAAAAAAAACAGCTTTCAAATGTGTTGTGTGTAATGTGTTCTGAATTTAGAGACTGTGAGGTTTGTAGTTGCTTTCCCACATACAGGTTAGGCCAGTCCTACACTAAAAGGAAAAATCAATGCAGATCCGGGACTGCAAAACTGAGCTGTTGTGTTTAAAAATGGGTTGACTCTTCAGTGTTTTACAAGGCTCTTCTCAGTGTTGTAATTGTGCTCTGTGGGCATTCTCCTTGGCCTAGAAAAAAAGCCAACACCATCAACTTATATAATGAAATGTGACACATGTTTGAAAAACAGATTGTGTGATGTACGTTAGTCATTGTGACAGCCAGGAGTAACGCACCGATCGCGCACTCAGAAACACCCACATACAGCTACACCTCACTCATCCGGTTTACACATTCAACATTCAACATTCAACAACATCCATAAAACGGCTCCAACTCTCAGTTTGACAGGACAGTTACGGAGAAGACAGACGGAGGGCATTTTTATGGAAGACAAGACGGCACCAGTCCATTCCTGAAACAAGGGGGAATGAGGCGTGGTTGTACCATGGGGGTGTTTCTGGGTTTATTTACATGTCTGCAGCAATCAGAGCTCCCTGGCTGCTACAACAAGCAAGCTTCCATTTCCAGATATGTGGACACAGCATCAATAATCAATTTTCCAGCATTTTTGTTTGAAAATTTAAATTTTTATATAGCATTTTTCAAAAATATCATTTCCAACCTTTTCAATCCCTGCAGCTCTGGTAGATATGAAGGATAAATGGGTTCTTTAGTCTTCATGTGAAGACACAAAAAACACTTTGTGATTACATTCAGCTAACCATAACCATCAGTTGTGGGTAGGACATTCTCCTTTCTACCATTTCTGCATAGCTGTTGGTCTAGTATTGAAACCATTCATCCACGTGTCACTGGGAAAAGGACCCAAGTCCAGGACATGGAAGCAAAAAGCATTTATTCACTGACAAAGAATCTGAAAATCTGTGAGGTCCAAAAAGGTAATCCAAAACAGGTGCACCAGAAGGAATGCTATGGAGAAGTCATGGAGTACATACAAATGCAGTGTTACAGATTAATCAGCCACGGTTTTACCTTCTGCTACTGAATCTTCAACATTAACATTTTGTCATTAGTTGCGAGGGTCAGTTTACACATATATGCAATTAATTAGTGGTTATAAAGAAGGAAACTGCCATTAGAGGCTATTACTAATTCACTGTCAGATTATAAATGTGAGTTTAATGGCATTTTAACAGAGGAATCTATAGACATTATTTGACTGGTGATAAGACACGGATGCAAAACAAGCAGACACAGGTGACAGTAATGAGATCGAGGCAAAAACATGAAGTGAGAGCTGAACGAGACAAATGAGAAAACTAACATTCAGATTAAAAAAAGGAAATAACCAAAAGATAGAAGTAACAATGAAATACGATGAGTAGCACTAAACATGATGGCAGACACATGCAGAAGGCTCGGGAAGAAACAAGTAAAAACTAAAGAATGGCAGTTTTGTTTATATTGTGCTTTTCATTACAAGCAAACTAAATATGCTTAACACAAAAGAGCCTGAGTGTAGGCCTGTGTAGTTAACAAGATTTTTAGTCTGGTTTTAACTGTATACACAGATGTAACTGATCTCAGGTCAGCAGTCAGCTTGTTCCGAAAACCATAACCACGGTAAACAGAAGCACCGTCGCTACACTTACATTTAATTCTAGGAAGAGTTAAAAGATCTGCACCTGATCACCTGAGAGGTCTGACTGACTAATGAATGACAGGGAACGTGACATGAGGACTTTCAGTAACTGCTGACGTTTATTATGTCTGAGTACGGTTTATCCTTTATGTTATTTAAAAATAATTCAAATATTTATCTGTGCTTTTATCTAATAATATCATCGGTGCACTTTTTTGATTTCTGCCTTCTGCTCATCCGTTATTTAAGTCGCTTTTTAAAAAAAAATGTTGTCAGATCGCTAAAATTTTAATTTTCAAATGTAATTTGAGGGTTTTTTCAGATTAGTTGAGCTAATCTGTAATAGCACCCGATGTCTACTGCATGAGTATTCCCTGGGGTATCCCTGGGTTAACTCATTGATGTAGTCTAACCTTTTTATTCAACTCTTTCAAAAAACTTATAGTGGGATATAAAATTTAATCACCATGTTTAAGTTATTAAATTCGTGCTTCTGAAAACCTTTATTGATTTTAGCTTGTTTGAAATAATTAATAATTCATGGGATGAAAACTGAAATTTTATCCTCAAGATCAGGGATGTCAAACTTAAGGCCTGGGGGCCAGAATCAACCCGGTAAAGACTCCAATCTGGCTCCCTGGGTGGCTTTGTAAAACGCAAAGCAGGACAAAGATTTTGGACTTTTAACTGTATTCGCTACACCAAAGTAATTCATTTCATTTGACCAGTTTCATTTCTGTAGACTGACAGAAAGGGGAGATCAAAGTGGAGTGTAGTAAATGTAGCAAATTCGATGTGAAATGAGTTTGACATCCTTGCTCGACATGCTTTTATTAGCCACTGAGAACAGTTAAAAAAAGTCACTGTCGTCTCAAAATATTTGACCTCCCCCTCCTCAAAATAGATAAAAATACACACAGTAACCTTCCCCTTTATTGACTCCACATCTTAATTCGAATGGAGTCCCTGAGATGGTGTGTGACGTGTTTTATAAGCAGTTTAATCAGCATAAGCATGTGTTCGCCTGTTGCAGCAGCCATTTAAAGTAACATTTAAATTGGAGAATGGGCTTTGTGTGTTCATGAGTGTGCTTTGAGCCTTTTACTTGTCAGATTGGCTGTGTGCATGCTGCTCCGCCTTCCCCCTGATGCCTATCTGGGGATGACAGAGATTACACATATGCTCAAGCAGCTACAAGTGCACCCAACACGCTTCCCTTGTTCTTCTGATGGGAGGAAACGGGCAGTCGCCTTGAAAGCCAACAAACCCCTATTCAGCTGGCGAGGCTGTAAGAAGAATCTCGGGCTGAAAACAGGGAATGAAGTCCTAAAAGCGAGTGAGCAAGCCAGCCGTATCAACACGGGGGGCTCAATAAAGCATCTTTGTCCTTGAGGGAGGTTGCTCCCTAGTGGGAGGCGATACATTCACAGATGAAATGAAGCATGAGCTCAATTTTTTAAGTCACCAGCATGATTTAAGAAGACGCTGGTTTATCACGCCCCCGCAATGATGACAAGAAGTCTCTGTTCACTGTTGCCATAGAAACAGGGATTGGGTCTCCGTACTGGTGATACCCCTCCGTTGGTTGGGAAATCTGGCAGCTGAGCGCTCTTTTAAAGTGGAACATGGTCCCTAAACATCTATTCAGCCTCAGTTGACTCCTCAGCAGTTCTGCGGCATTCCTTTAAAGGGGAAATGCGTAATAACCTTACTGAATACGGAAGTGAAATGAAAAGAACTTTGTGATGCTGTAATTTGTGCTTGTTACCAGTGTGTAAAATGTATAATCTCTGTAATCATGTTTCAGCATCTCACATGATAAAATGGGGATTATCCTAAACACACAGTACCTTTCTCTTGTTAGGAGACGACAGTGAAGTTGCTTTGTGCAGAGCCTGTAAATTAATACAGCACAAATAGCATTTTTAGACCCCTAGTAATTTTCTTTGTAGTCATCATACTGCAGTACAAATTGAAATTTATCGTATGAGGCTTTTAATATCTGGTGCCATCATGAGAGCTAGTGCAGTTTTCAAAGTAAAATCAGCAAGATGCTTTTATTGGGATGGTTTTTTTTTATAAAAAACAGAAAGTTTCTCATCTCAGAATAGGAGGTAATGTACAGTAAAGAAAATTATTACTTCAAGTTATTGCTGCTAAAGGTCGCTCTACAAGCTGTTGAACCATGGGAAGTAGTTAGTTTTACACAGGATTGCATGGAGTCCCATAAAAACTTTGTTCACATGACTGTATCAGTTTAACAAACAAGAATGTATTATGCTTAAGAAAATGACACCCAGTTTTAAAAGTTGGTAAAAAAAAAAGTTTTTAAAATTAATTTAATTAATTAATTGTTCAAAAAAAATTTATATAAATAAAGGAACAAGAAAGAGAAAAAGGGAGAGAATATACAGCAGAGATATTATTGTAAATTAAAACCAAGTCAAAATATTCTTCTGCAGAATTTCCAAGAACAGTCTGTCCCTCGCTTTTTTCAACCTTCTACCTTTTTGATCTTTTTTATTGCAACTGTTAATACTGCAGTGATGAATATGATGATATATTAAGAACATTGCGCAACCCTGCTTTTCACTGCTGGCTCGCGATGGCCTCGCAGCATCACAGAAAGCATAAACCTGTTACTGACATAAGGCCAAAGCATTGGAGAATAAGCAGTTTATGCTTCCACGTCTGATAGAGATAAGCAGATCAGCTGTTTTTACGGATTTGATGTAGTAGCGGAGCAAGGCCAATGAAATGACTTGTAGTGGATTGGCGGGGATTGTGCTGGGGAGAAGGTGGCGTCAGACTTTGTCGCACATGTCTGTGCCCTCTCTCTCTGACCAGGGACACGGAGATGCGATGCTGTGCAACGTGTGATTTGGTGGAAATAAACTCTGTGCCGGCTTGCACAGATTCGCCATTATGACTTTGCCCTCTGTGGCCTCAAAGACAGGGTTACAGCCTTCAAAACATGTGGCTGGCAGACTGTGTTACACAACACAAGGTAGGGGGATGCATCCACGGGGCTGTCACATCAAGCAAGCAGTGTTGCTTCGGTGAAGGCAGCTTCTGCCTGGAGGGAGTGAGACTCTTTGGTTTGATCCTATGGAAGTGTGCACCTCATAGAGGAGAGGAAGGGACAAATCCACCAACCCCCTCTGTGTTATGGCTCTCCTGCCCCCTCTTCTCATTGCCCCTCTCCCTGATAACTGAAGTCTCACCAGAGGGGGACAGCAGGGGTGAGTTATTTCCATGCAAATTCACCCTGCTACCCCCTGAAAACACGGGGAAGACAGCTGAGAGGCATGAGCGAGAAGCGGCCAAAGCACACTTCGAGCTCTTTGTTATGCTACCGTACTCTGTTTAATTGTGGGTTGGCATAGTAATGAATACCCCTCATAATGGCAGCAGCTGGGGGTGATGCTGGAGAAAGAGGAGTTGTGGGGAAAGGAGAGATGGGGACACATGCAGGGGCACATCTAGAGGTTATGTAATACTAAGGGCCAGCCAGGCAGCCTTCAGCAAGCTGCCCTGTTTGTGGAATATGTTTACTCGTGTGTGTGTTGGCGCAGTTTACTCAAAGGTTTAGCAATTTTTCGTATGAATATGCATGTCCATTTTTTTTCTCTATTGAAGTCTCTTTTTTTCTTCTATTTTTCCGCTACAGGTCCTTCGTACCCATGTGATGGTGCGTGTCGGAGGGGGCTGGGACACATTAGAGCACTATTTGGACAAGCATGACCCGTGCCGTTGTGCTGCTTTCGGTGAGGTCATT